AGGTGTGCTGAGACCACGGCCTATCATGCTGAGCAATATTATCTAACTTTTTTTCCTGTACTCCCTATCAGTCTCTGTATCTACCTACAGTCTTGACTCTTAGACTATATGCTCTTTGGGGCAGGGACTGCCTTTTTCTGTGCTTGTTCAGCACCTAGCACAATGGGATCCTGGCACATGACTGGGATTCTTAGGCACAATGATAATACAAATAATAATAAATTAATAATACAGCATAACTACCCTTTGTGGCCTTCTGAATCCAGATTGCTCCGGGAGAGGGAGGGGGCTGTCTAAATTATGTCATCCTCCCCACACTGCCCTATGGCTCATCAGCATTAACTAGAAACTGCATAGCACTACATACTGTGGTCCAATCCTGACACACTCCTCATCTTGGGAGATGGGTATAGTAAGCAAGGGAAGACTGTGCCTCTCCATACGGCTTGCCATGGATCAGCTCATGCTCCACCCCAGGCCAGATCCCCACTTACTGTTCTGCAGTGCTCTGACCCTAGCTGGTCTACTAGGCTGACTGTCCAGCCTCCAGCAGGGACTCAGCAGCTGGCATTAGAGCTGTGCTGCCCATTCAGTGCTCAGACCATGCAGCCTGGTGCAGCCAGGACTGGGAGTGTGGTGACGGAGCCTCCCAGCCACACAGAGCATCGGAGCAGGGGAGGGGGATGCTATGGACACACTGCCTGATTGGAGCATCAGGACTGAGAGCATGGCCTCCGCATCACCTGAAGCAGCAGAGTTTTGAAGGTCCTGCAGCTGTGCTGCCTGATTGCCTCTAGCACTCTTCCATACTGGGTATGCTCTGGGCTTTTGTGGGAGAGTAGGGATTGAAGGGGAGGGGAAGGAAAGGGGATGTAGGGCAGAGTCGGGGCTTTGGGCATAGGGGAGGGACTTAGGAATATGCTCATGTCCCAATCCCCCTCACTCGCTTCTCTCCCCCTGCCAAGACCCTGCGCCTTCAGCTTGCTCTGACACTCTCCCTTACTTCTGCTGCACCTCCCCGCTGACCAGATTCTGTACCCTCCCTTGCTCCTGCTCCCTCCCTCCCTCCCTCCTTCCCTCCTGGCTAGACATCATACCTCAAACCCCCTCCTGCACTCTCCCTTCTGGCCAGAGATCCTACCCCCAGCCTGCAGCTGCACCCAACCTCCCAGCCAGATCCTGCAGCCCTGCCCTGCACACTGAACTCCTCTTTTTCTCCCTGCACCAGAACCTAAGGGGGTCCATAAAATTCACTAACTCTGCAATCCCAGAAAAGTAAATCTGACCTATGAGAAGCCCTGAACTAGGGATGTTAGGGAGTAGTCGACTACCCAACTAGGGATGTTAGGGTATGTCTACACTACCCCCCTAGTTCGAACTAGGGGGGTAGTGTAGACATACCCTATTTGGTTTAGAGTTCCATCTAGAATTTTAATGTGATTACTATTTTCCCCTTTACTTTTACTGTTTATTTTGTCATGTTTCACTTTACCTTAACTGTATGCTGGTGATGGCCTGGCTTGCCCAAACTGCAAAGAAATTCACTCGAACAATAAGGTCATCGATCCATGATCCCAAAGACTTAACTGACATATAGGAATATGGCTGTCGCAAATGACAGAAAAAGCAGAATTTCATTTTCGGGAAAAAAACAAATACTGCTACAGTCAGTTTATAAACTGGAACTACACTACAGAAGGGAGTCACTGCCTGAAAAGTAGCAATGAAGAAAATGTAGATTACAAGCCTTTTTGAAAAAACACTCAGAAACAACCCACACATTTTTAATAGTGCTCACTATGAAATGCCCTTTAATCTCCACTAAAGGATGTCATTCCATAGACTACAAAATATCAAATTAAATAAGAGACAAAAATCTTCCAAAGTGCTAACATTCAGAAAACATATGCTCAAAAAGAAAACAAAAACAAATGTACCAATAACAAATCTACCAGTATTTCCATGTACTTGTGATATGCGTTTCCTCAAAAAGTAAAATGCCACATTATATCAGTCTGTGTAAGCATTTGAACTGTGAGCATATCACCACGCTTACTTTGTGCTCTAGACTCGTATGTGAAAAGATCAGTTGTGTCACTGAAGGTTCAAAAACCAGAACAATTTTGCAAAAAATTCTAAAATTATAATTTTTTAAAATTTCCCAGGATTCAAAAGTGGAACAATTTTTAATTTTTTTCAGTTTATCAAATTTCAATTTCTTACTCCCTTTTCCTCATTTTTTCTTTTATGCCAGTGAGTGCAATAAAATGAAAAATGTCAGGATTTTTAATTTGACTTTTTTTTTCCATTTTGCCTTTTCAAAGCTGCTTCAACCCTGGCAAACTTATAAAGCGACAAAAAGAAAATGAAACTGTAACTCTAGAAAATATAATTTTTAAAGCTTTCCCCAACTGTTGCAAAGTTACAGTGGCAGAGCTAGAGAGTTTCATTTTTCGGCCACTTTGTGACTTTTCCAAGTTTGAAATAGTTAAATCAGCAAAAAAAAAAAAAAAAAAACCCAATCACAAAACAAAGACAAAACCAACCCTCACACAACAAACACAAACATAATATAAAGAGACTCTTAGACATAAGTAATTTTATTTAATTCAGTGGAAAAAAGGAAGAAAGTGAAAAATTTTCACACAAATTCTTTCGTTTAAATTTAAAAAAAAGGCACAATTTCAGGGAGCTTCCTGAGTTGAATCATCCTCTATTAAAAGCCTGTATGGAAGAGTCCCTCAGTGCTTATAATTAGCTGGATGGATGGATGGAAATCTGCATATGTAAACTAAGTGAATTTAATCTTACCTGCCAGAATTCAGGCACCTTGGACTTCAAAACTGAGTTATGAAGTTCTTCTAACCCTGTAGTGAGGATAATCTCCCCCTTCATAGCTTGTTGAAGTGAATGCAGTGACATGGTTATTACAGACAATAAATGATTAAATCGATCGATCTCCTGGCGAAGAACAGTTAGCAAAGCTGAATTGATAAAAGGATCATGTCCTGATAAAGGAAAAAGCAGCAATATCAGTTGGAGCTTTCCTCTCAAAGAGAAGTAAGGAGGAGCTGCTCATTATCATGACATTCAGGTTTTTGCAAATATTGTCTTAATTTTGTTTCTATACTGAGTTAGGAAAAAGCCACTTTGTTCCATACAATGTAGTGGAAGAGAATTAAAGGCATTAATTTTTGTATCAATCAAAACTCTTTCTTCTATCAGCCAAAGGCAGGTTTGAAGTAATGACACTCAGAATGTCTGAGTCATTTTTTGTCTCAATGCTGTGTGTTTCTCACTTAAACAAGGCAAGGTAATTGACTTCTCTTTTTCAGCAAAGAAGGAAAAAAAATATTTCCCGGTGTATTTACTTTTGTGAATTTGGCTTCCATAGTAAACAGTACCATGGAAAATTATCTGAGACCAATATGCTCAACATGTTAGACCAAGTAGTTAATGTTAAATATGCCAATTTCCAAATGTATAGACTTTCTCAAATCTAGCAGCATAATTCTAGGAGAGGAATTTGATTTAATTCATGTTTTTTAATTTCTCTTAACTATTAATAGTGCAAATCCTGAAATCTTTGCTCAACACTTGCTTAATCTTTACTTGGACAATATTACAACTGAAATTACTGGGAAGTCTGCCTAATTTAGTGAATGTGGACTTCAGGTTTGGGATTTGTGATGAATGGGAGGGGTACTATCCTTTTCTGGACATCCAGCTAGTCATTTAATTGAATTGCCTGTAAGGATTAAAACCATAGATGGAGGGTTCTAGACAGTCTCCAGGAATGCTAGGGAAACAGGAAGTGAGTTGGCAGGAAGCCAGAAAAGCCAATGAAAACAGAGTGTGTGTTTTTTAAATGGAAGCAATGATCTTTCTGTGCCAATCTTTGGTGTGACTAGAGCAGTGCTGGGAGTCATGAATTGAGCCAGGGAGCAAGGCATGGAATATCGAGAGACATCACTGCCTAAGGAAGGAATAAACCTTGGAACAACAAATATGTGAGTAGAACATGTTGGAATGTTTAGTTAGACACAATCACGTTATTTTCTTTATTTTTGGGTTTGTTGGACTTCCCTGTGCTAAGCACTCCCTCTGTTACACTATAACTCTCCAAGCTGAATCTTAGAGAAGCAATTCTCTGTTTTAATCTTGCTTTTTTTCAGTTACTGTGTAACACCTAGCAACCAAATAATATTTCACAAAGTATGTTTTCTTTGTTTTGTTAATAAAAATTACTTTTATCAGACCATGATCTGATTCCTCTATTCTAGAAGGCAGGAGGTTCTGTGTACATCTGCCTAGGACTGCAAGGTCAGCTATTACAAAAAACTACAGTTTATTTAAGCTCTCTCCAGGAGGAGGGTTAAAGAGCTTGAGGGTACTCTACAGGGAGGAATTCCTAAATGCGCCTTCCTGGATTCTCAAAGGGGATTTTGCATTTGGACGGTGACAGCAATACCAATGCAAGACCAGGGAATTTATGACTTTGTGAGTTTTTAAACAGAAGCCCATAGTCATAAAGAATTGTAAAGTTTCTTGTGGGCACTCAAAGTGCCTGAGAGGGGAACAGCCTTGACAGGCTTTTAAAAAAATTATTATTCTCATTGGAAAAAACCCCCACAGATATAAGTCCAACAGCATCAGATTTAGAATTTATTTATTGTTACATTTTCTATTTTGTTAAACTCTTTCAAACAAATCATTGCCTAAGATCAAGAGGTGGAGCTCAGATAAACTTGAAATACTTTGGGACTGAAACATAAGTGGGGACTCATGAGCTTGTTAAATATGCCAACAAGTATTTTTTACTACAGTTGTTCCTCTATAAAATGGAGAGAATGATGCTTACCTCCTATGTAAAGCACTGAGAGATCTACTGATGTAAAGCTGTGTAGAAGAACCAGTTATTATTAATTGTCACCGAAACAGATGGTGGAACTAATTCCAACAGAGAAGGTTACTCACCTTGTGCAGAACTGAGGTTCTGAAGCAGAAGGGTGGATGGTGGAGCATCCATGGGGGAGAACCATCTCGACGAACCTCAGTTACTGCACAAGGTGAGTAACCTTTTCTTCTTCGAGGAGTGTTTCTGGGTGTTCCAACTTAGGTGATTATGAAGCAGTAGTCATGCTCAGTAGAGGGAGATTCACTAGATCTGCATTTACTGTAGATAATATGGTATATCTGAATTGAGTGTCTGAGACCTCTCCGTTTTAGGCATGCATATACAGACCTCCTGTTCCCTTCCAGGACACAAGAATCAAATAATCGCCTTAAAAGGGTGATTTGATTAAAAAACAAAAAGATAAACTTGAGAAAGCATACTCAATTCATGCTTTGTTTCATCCACAGAGAGATCTCAAGGCATGCCCATCTCTAAAGAGAGACTATCCAAATGGATATCAGAATGCATCCATCTCATATACACCATATTCAATTGGGAGTCTCCAAAAACAGTATGAGCCTACTCCACCAGAGCAATAGAGCAGCCATAGCCTTCCTTAAAAACATACTTCTAAATGACATCTGCAGAGCCACCACCTGGGTGTCAACTCACACTTTTTCACAGCATTAGGCTAAGAGCTTGGGGAAACAAGATTAATTGAACCAGAACTACCATGCCTACAAGGAATACTAGGCATGTAAATGGACTGGACCTTGAAACACAGATTTGTTTTGTTGTTTGGTTAAACTTATCTGTGCTAAGTCCACGTGCACCCCCCACCCCAGTTACTATATCTAAGCTATACTCAGAGATACCATTTTTCTCTGTGTTTTAAATCTGTTCTTTTCTCAGTTGCTCTGTAACACCTAGCAACCAAGTATGCTTTCTCAAGTTTATCTTTTTGTTTTTTAATCAAATCACCCTTTTAAGGCGATTATTTGATTTTTGTGTCCTGGAAGGGAACAGGAGGTCTGTATATGCATGCCTAAAATGGAGAGGTCAGCTTCAGACTTGCAGTTTGTTTTCTCTCTCTATTTTTTTCCCTTCAAGCTCTCTTGTAAAAGAACTTGGTGGGGACCTCTCTGGAAGAAGTTCAAACACTTCTTCCTGGGTTTAAGCAAAAGGGTTTTCTTACACTTGATGGTAGCAGCTTATCTCCAAAGGCCAGGGAATCTGCAACCCCAGGGAGATTTTTAAGCAGAATCTTGTAGAGGCAAGGTATTTAATGTCTCTTGTGGGCCCCCACCTTCTGCACTTGGAGTGCCAGAGTGGAGAACAGCCATGACAGGGTGCATCCCACTCTATTGTGAACATACCCCAGGGATTGGGAGTTGAGGCTTGGCCTGGAGCAATACCTTTGGCGTTTGTCATTGGAACTCCACGAGGAGTAACGGTAGTTCGAACTAGGTGCTGCGCGGCACGGGGTTCGAACGAGCGGGGATTTAAAAATGGCGGCGTCCCGCTTATGCAAATGAAGCCCGGGAAATTCAAATCCTGGGCTTCATTTGCAATTGCGGTATGCCTACATTACCCCACTAGTTCGAACTAGCGGGGTAGTGTAGACATACCCTTAGTCACCATGTGCTGGTCAGCACTCCTTCTATCCATCAGCCTTTGGAGCAGCGGAAGGGCAGAGAAAGAGACACCTTTCCATCATTAGACTTTAAGTCCCTTTTCCTGACATAGCAAGGGTTTGGGGACTGAAAGTCAGACAGGCACAATTCCCATTACACTGCAGGCTAAGGCAGTGCATCACAGAAATAACAGATTTATCTTCATGCCCAGACATAGTGCAAAGTGGGGGTAGGGCTAGTGAGTCTGATTTCAAACACTGAGAGTCTCTGAATAGGAGAATGAAGTCCTCTGTAAACATTCCCTCGAGGTGAGAAGGTAGAGGAGAAACAGGTACAAAAACTTATCCCAGAATCACAAATGCACAGATTTTGGGGGGTAGCTGTCACAATCAAGTGATTTTTTATTTTTAGCTTGTTTGCTCATTCACAGTATAAACTGCTCCTTTAAGAAAAGGTATGCTTACTTGTGTCTGTTTGACATATGGGGGCTCTTGCTTTTGCAAGAATTCCCCAAATAGGTTGTGAGGGGTTACTGATCTCATGTTACTGATTAAGTTTTCTCTTGTGGAGTTGTGGTTCAAGATGCGAGTCATGGCTCCAGCACAGCTGTCTGTCTCATACAGGGGTGGGGAACCTTTTTTGGGTTGGGGGCCACTGACCCACAGAAAAATCAGTTGGGGCCGCATGCAAGTGAGAAGTAGAAAAAAAACCCTCAATGTGGCCCCTGACTGAGAAGAAAGACACTCCCCACATACCCCTTCCACACCAGAACCTAGGGGGCCTAGCCTAATATATTTTGTGCGCTGCAGCCCCCAAAGGGACAGCAGGGGGGATGGAGCACCAGCACGGGCTCCCCAATGTTGGGAGAAGGGGACCCTGAGCCTAGGGGGCCAGATCTAGGCAAACTGAGGGCTGCATCCAACCTTTATATCCTGGCAGAGAGAGGGGTTGACAACTTGTGGCTTTAGGGTATAGTTTGCCCTCTTAAGCTGCATGTCCTAGCAGAGCAATGGTTGACAGTTTGTAGCAGCAGAGCATAGCTCACCCTCAGAAGCTACTCAAAGGCTACCTATATCATTTCTTGAACTTGGTTTTAATCTTGTAGAACTTATCTACTGCTATGGTGTGGGACCCAGTTGTGATGGGGCACCAAGTTGATAGGTGCTATCCCAGAGGAACCAGAATATTAAAGTCTCAATGTTTGAGTAATAGAGAAGCCAGAAGTAGCAATTAAGTTGGTACTACATGAAAAGACATAAATATTAAAGTTATAAAAAAAAATGATGAGTAAAAATTGAATCACTATCTCGTTCCATCACCAGAGGCAGACCTTCTGGTGGTTCATGCTTAAGGGCAGGGCTTATCTGGAGCCTTCAACAATACTGGGCTACTCCCCAATTCCACAGGTGAGAAGCATGTTGTGAATGAAGAGAGGAACTGTGCAGTAGAAAGTCAAAAGCAGAAAAGGAATTTTTTAAAAGAAAAGATTAATCTGAGAAAATAAAAAGTTCTGATTAAACATTATGTAAGCCATTGTTCTGACCTCTAGCATCTTTTGCAAGAGCAGCCCAAATGGGTCCCGACATTATGCTTCCCAGTGTTGTTTTAATTTTGGAGGAATGTTCAGTTCCAGGTGTCAGTTCTGTATCTTGTTCCTCTACAGTGAGTGGTAGCTGCCTTAGAATGTCCGATGCCATTTCCAGTACTAATTCATCCTGGCTCTTTCCACCACTGGAGGGGGGAAAAAAGATTAAGACATCTAATTCTGGAATTGTTAGAGCAGGTGAGTTCCATTAGGAGATGATCTAATAGTACAGTGACCATATTTTCTGAACCCAAATAGGGACACATTAGCTACACCCCTGACCCTCTTTAGTCATGCCCACCTGCCACCGGAAGTCCCACCCTTTGGGGTAGTACTTCTAGGATAGAGATGGGCATGTGACCGGAAGTAACGAGTGTCATGTGATCCCTCTAAGAACTTCTCCCACCATCCTCTATCAATAGGGGTATGTATTTGGACCCCATAGGACCGTCCCAAGAGCAGATGTGACCAATCAGGGGGAGTTCCAGGGCAGGGTGATCGGTCCAGAAGTGGGTCGTGTGACCCCTCTAAAAACTCCTCCCACCAGTGCTCTGCAAGGAACCAGGGATCAGCTGATTTCCAGCTCAGCTGGTGCCCAGTGCCAATGCAGTTCTGCCATTTTAATCTAAGAGAGTGGTTCTCAAACTTTTTGGTCCGTGGACCACCTTGCTCAATTCAAACCTTTCCATGGACCACTAGCTGCTAATGGAAACCTCACTGTTAATTACATAATTATGCCTGAGCCATTTTTCTAGTGCTGCAGCTAGGGAGAATGGTTTAATTTAAATTATTAAACAAAGTAAGCATTTTAACTCTCTCCTGTTAGTTTATCAAACTTCATTTTAAATAAAATAATCACAAAAGGTTGCAATGTTTTCTTTATATATGGCAGGGGTTGGGAAACTTTTTTGGGTTGGGGACCACTGACCCACAGGAAAATCAGTTGGGGACCACACAAGTGAGAAGCAAAAAAAAAAAAAAAAAAAAAACCCTCCAAAGCCTCCCAACCCTCACTGATGTGGCCTCCGACTGCAACACCTTTGGCACTCCAGCCCCACAGGACGAGGGGAGGGGACAGTGAAAGCTGAGGTTCAGGGCTTCCCATAGGCCAGATTTACTCTTCTGGGGTTCCGGAGTTAGTGAATTTTGTGGATCCCCTTATGCTCTGGGGTGGGAGAGTGGGGAGGGTGCAGGCGCAACGGTGGAAGCAGGAGCAGGGTGGGGGTAGGTGTATGGCCAGGAGTGAGGTGCAGGAGCAAGGAAGGATGCAGGAGGGAGTTTGGAGGAGGGTGTCTTGCCAGAAACTGGAGATGTGGAGGTGTTGCAGGGGAGGGGAGAGGCGAAAGGGGGATTGGGGTGTGGAGGTCTAGGCTTGAGGGGGAATGCTTACCTGGCTTTGCGCCCCTGATGCTGTCATTGGCTGGCCGTTGGCAGCAGCAGGGAAAGCCTGCAAGTACTGCATCACTGCACTTTCGTTCTCCAGCGGGGTGGAGGTGGGGAACTCAGCCCTCTCCCCACTGCCTCCCGCGTGCAGCGGAAAGCCCATTCTGGCTGAAGCACCAGCTCCAGCTGCCCAACCTTCCCCACCAGACTGGCTTGCAGAGAATGGCAGAGCAAGTGGCTCCATGTGAGCATCAGTAAGAAATGACCCCAGGTCTCGCAGTGATCATGCCAGATCCCATTGCCTCAGAATTAGGCTAAGGGAGGAACAGGGAAACTGCTGCAAGGCACATGGTGTCAGCGGTGATTTGCAATCTCAGCCATGCTATGAGCCGGCAGGTCCTGGCGAGGGGAAGGGCAGGTGCCTGGCATGGCCGCATGCATGGGCGCAAACACACTGTGCTGGAACCTAGGCCAGGCTCCCACATGTGCCTATGAGGAGCCTGTTCACATGCCAGGTGCTGCTTTGATGTCAAGTCTGCAGCAGCCCAGCCACAAAGAGTTCCACACTGCAGCCATTGCAGCCTGGGCTGGGCTAAAACTTTATTTGTCCACTGCAGGGACAAAGGTCTCCAAAGAAGGCACCATGAGAACCCACTGGAACTGTAGGGTTGCCAGAGGCTTTCAACAAAAATACCGGACACACTTGACATTACATCACAATCTACATTACATCTTATTATAAAATACCGGACATTTCTATTTTCTCAATTTGTTTCCCGGACAGAAAGCTCAAATACTGGACTGTCCAGTTCAAACCCGGACACCTAGCAACCCTAACTGGCAGCCAAGTCCTGCACACAGGCAGCCCACACAACCCTAGCAGCTCCCACCGCATTGGGGAGCTGGCGCCCACTAGCTTCCTGCACGGGCAGATGAGGGTGCCCAGCCTGCAATGCCCCCTTCTAGGGGGTGGATACTGCCTCTCACTGCCCACAGCACTGCTCAGAGCCACAACTCGCCCCACACTTGTGCTGTCCCAGCTTCCAAGAGCCAAAATAGCCCCACTTCAGCTGCCTCTATCACAGTGGGCAGGAGCGGGGGAGCTGAGCTCGAGATGTGGACCACCGGACCATACTTGTGGAACCACTGATCTAAGAAGAGCCGCCATGTGGCTTCTTAGATTTAAAAGGCAGAGCCAGCGCTCTGCACAAACCAGGATCAGCTGATTTCCAGCTCAGCGGGCGCAGTCTCACATGGCATTACTTTTTAAATCTAAGACAACATGCGTGGCTCTTACTAAGTTCAAAAGAGAGAAGGGCAGTAGGGTCTCGTGGAGGGGGTGTGGGGGGAGGGGACCACTTGCATGCTGCTGCTTTACCAGCACAGCTCCCAGACTACCTGCCCCCCAGAGAAGAGGGCCAGAAGTCATGCACTACTTCCCACTGCTCCTATTGGCTGGGTTCCAGTGCAGCGGGAAAAATCTTCAGGAAGGTCCCTCAACACTTGCGTTCCCCTGGGAGAAAGAGTGGGGAGGGGAAACAGCAGTGCAACGCTGCTTCTAGCTGCACTGCTGTTTCTGGGACATTTTCAGTGTTTACGGGGGCACCGGGACAAGAGATTGAAATTAGAAACTCTCCTGGATTTTCCAGGACGTATGGTCAGTGTATCTAATACCCCCACTTCCACTTGTAGTCTGTGGGCATATTCTAATATATTTCTAGACAATCTCTTGCAGGTGTCTGTAATCAGATGAGTAGATATGTACAAAGAGTTAGGTTATGTGGGATATTCCAAAAGATTTTTTTTCCCACATGATAGTGGGGAAAAGTCAATGATCTATGCAGTGATGCAGATTCCTGCCAAAGCTGTAAAAATATTTTAAGGCTTTGTCTATACTGGCATTTTCACAACTAAAAATTCTGCCAGTCAGGGGTTTGAAAAAACACCCTCTTAAATGACAAAAATTTAGCAACAAGAACCACCACCACAGACAGTGCTTTATCATTGGGAACCATTCTGCTGGTGAGCAAGATGTCATTTTTCACTGGAAGTGGTTTTATTTTGTTGCTGGGAGAGCTCTCTCCTGGCAATAAAGAATGACCACACACACAACGTACAAGGGCACAGCTGCAGTGGCAGAACTGTGACATTGTAAGGTGTGAAATGTAGACATATCCTAAACTAGGAATTACAGGTAACTAGATGGTTTACTATGGCTATGTCTACACTGCAGAGTTTTGTCACCAAAAGACATGCCATTTTAATTAAAGCATTTAAATTAAACTAGTGTTGCATGGCCACACTATGCTCCTTATATCAGCAGAGTGCATCCAATTATCAGCTCTTGCATCGACACACAAAGCAGTGTATTGCGGGCATGGATGGTCAGTGCAGCTAGGGCTGGGAAATGAAGAGTAATGTTAGTTTGAACCAAGGGGTATGGTTGGAACTAACTCGTCCCGGTGTGCACTTTCACTTTCGAAACAGCTGGCATTTGGAGTAACACGCTGGCGAGATTATGCTAATGAAGCTCAGGATATTTAAACCCCCGCTTCATTGACTATTTCAAATGCCTACATTTGCATCCCTAGTTTGAACTAGGGTGCAAGTGTAGATATACCCTCAGGCTACGTCTACACTGGCCCCTTTTCCGGAAGGGGCATGTAAATTTCAGCAGTCGTCGTAGGGAAATCCGCGGGGGATTTAAATAGCCCCCGCGGCATTTAAATAAAAAGGTCCGCCGCTTTTTTCCGGCTTTTAAAAAAGCCGGAAAAGAGCGTCTAGACTGGCCCTGATCCTCCGGAAAAAGTGCCCTTTTCCGGAGGCTCTTATTCTTACTTCAAAGTACTTTGAAGTAAGAATAAGAGCCTCCGGAAAAGGGCACTTTTTCCGGAGGATCAGGGCCAGTCTAGACGCTCTTTTCCGGCTTTTTTAAAAGCCGGAAAAAAGCGGCGGACCTTTTTATTTAAATGCCGCGGGGGCTATTTAAATCCCCCGCGGATTTCCCTACGACGACTGCTGAAATTTACATGCCCCTTCCGGAAAAGGGGCCAGTGTAGACGTAGCCTCAGAGTGTCAGGAGCTTGGTCCCCTCCCTGGCTCTGCATTGCTCAGCTCCTGCCCGCGGCCACCTGCTGGGAGCTGCTGCCAGCCCAAGTGGGTAAGCAGGCCCTTCCACTCTAAGCTGCTGGCACTAGCCCCACTCGTAGGGCACAGATACCCCAGCAGCCAGGAGCCAGAGCCAGAACCAGCTCCCCATGACAGCCCTTTCCCCCTATGCTCAGTGCCACCAGCACCAGCGCATACTCTGCCCCTGCACACAGCATCACCACACACCTTGCTCCTGCACACAGCACCAGCTGCACACCCTCTGCCCCGCCTGTAATGCCACACCCAGTTGTCCCCACACCCTGTTGTGCCACCAGAGCCTACTTACACATCCTGTCCCTGTGCACAACACTACCACACATATCCTGCCCACAGTGCCACCTCCACACACTCTGACACTACACAAAGCTTCAACTACACAAAGCTTCTCTAGTACACTCACTCCATGCCCTTAGGCACAACAGCACCACTAGCACATCAACTTCCCCACATACCCTGCCTCTACACACTACACCATCTCCACACACCCTCTCCCAACACACAGTGCCACCAGCATCTCCACACACATGCATACACACACACACTGCACACAGGCACAGCACTATCATATAAACCATGCCCCTCCACATAGCACATCACCTCCACACAGCACACCAGCACCTCTTACAGGGCCCAAACCCATCACGATTGGTAAACGGTGGTGGGAGGAGTTCTTAGAGGGGGCATACGACCCACTTCTGGACCAATCATCTGTCCAGAATGCCCCTTGATTGGTCAAATCTGCTCTCAGGGTGGTTCTATGGGACCCAAACCCATTCCTATTGGCAGAGGCCAGTTGGAGGAGTTCTTAGAGGGGGGTCACACAACACCCTTTATTTCTGGATACATATTCATCTTAACCCCAGAAGTGTGGCCTCCAGGGGTGGGACTTTATGTGACAGGTAGGTGGAGCTTAAGGGACCAGGGGGTGTGGCTAATGAGGCTTGGAGCATGGCTAATGTGTCCCTATTTTGGGTTCAGAAAATATGGTTATTGTAGACAGGGAGTATACATGAGACCAAGAGGGTATGTATGGGGGGAGTGTGTGATAGAATGGGGGAGGTATATGTGGGAGAGACAGTGTGTGTTGCGGGAGGAGGGAGTGTGTTAGCATGCTGTCTCCAAAAACAACCAGTCCTTAAGTCGGGGGAGGGGGACACTCCCAACATCAGCCCCTGACTTCCATCCTGGATCTGTACAGTACAATTGTCTTGCTCTCTCACACACAACTGCCCCTGCCTGCCTCTGATATCCTAGACCTGGAAAGGGCAGGAGCATTCCACATTAATGAGTTGCTCTTTGTTCCTGGAGGAGAGCAGCTGTCAGAACTTCACAAACCTTTGAAAAGGGAGGTGTGCATGCCTTCAAGGCAGCCAAGTTTAAAACAGTGAGCACAGCAGTTGTGGCAGGCAGTGTGGGATACTGGGGGAGGCCAGTTCTGGTGATATAATGAATAGCAGTATGTACACTGATACTTTATCATTTTAACTTTGCTGCAAAAAGCCTTATGTTTTTCATCAAAATGGTTTTCTTTTGTTACTAAACTGAAGAGTTTTGTCATAAAAATGGCATTGCAGCATGTACACCTCCACTGTTTTGCCACAAAAAGCTGCCTTTTTGCGGATAAAATTTTGCTGGGTACACAAGGCCTACGCAAGAAAGTTACATGGACATTTTCCTGCTGGTTATTTGATGGGAGCTACAATATATTTGACTTGCACAAAGAACAGATTGCTTTACCCATATATTAGAAACAGAACAGTCAAGGGTTGGAATCTGATTACAATGAAGCCTCACTTAGGAAGTGGAATGATGCGGCCGGGGGAACAAAGCAAGCTGAGGCCATTGCTTCGCTTACCCTGCTGCTGTTGGTGAGTGCAGGGGTAGAGACAGACCCCTACTCCTGGCGCCAGCCCCACTAGTCTCATGGGCCACATTGCTTGGGGGAGGGCAAAGAGGCAGACTGGAGACAGAGCAAGGGTAGGGGAGAGGCAGGAAAGGGTGGAGCAAAGGTGGTGAAGAGGAGAGAAATAGGGCACAGCAGGGGCAGGGAGAGGCAGAGCAGAGGCAGAGCAGAGGCAGGAAAGGTAAGTCTTGGGGCAAAGGTGGGTTGTCCCAGTCCTTCCCAGGGAGGGTGTGTGTGTGCCATGTAGCTAGTAGTCTCTCTCTGAGAGACTTTGGTGAGACCAGTTTCAGTGAAGTATACAGGTCAGAATCTATCCTGGAGAAGATCTAGGGGTGTAACTGGAAGAGAAGAAATCTATACAGTAGTTGCAGATGAAGCTTTCAGTGAGTTCTGACATGGAGAAAAGGAAAAGTAGTCAACAACTGCACAGATAACGTGATCAAGAGTGAGTTTTTTTAAGAGGAAGAGACTAAATATGTTTATACTGTGAGGGACTTATTTTTGGCATAGTTAGGGTGACATTGTGTCTTGGCTGGGAGCCTTGCTGACTCCTTGGGTTCTCAGCTCCTCACTTTCTGCTAGGAACATGACAGATACCCAGACTCTGGGTGCAGATCTCCTTGCTGGGAGCCCAGTTGCCCCACAGGCTCTTGGTTCCCTACTGGGAGCTTGGCAGCTGACCACAGTCCAAGTTCAGTTCTCCCTGCTAGAGGTGAGAAGCCCTAGGAGGCAGCTGGGCTTCCCATGGGAAGCTATGCACAGTTGAGAGCCCTGGTTCTCCATGTCCACTGCCCCTCTTCAGTTGGTGGAAGCACTCCTGTGAGGATATGCACTACCAACAGAAGGAGGGTATTATGGGCCATCAGCCATTGCAGTAAATACTGAGGCAGCTGTAAGCTGAACTAATATAGGTTGATCTAAGTGTGTAGCTATGCCCTAAGGTTTCGTCTACATAAGGAAATTTAGATAGGATAACTGTTGTTTAGGGGGTGTGAAAAATCCACGTTCCTGAGTGAGGCATGAAAACCAACCTAACCCTCAGTTTACACAATGCTAGGTTGACAGAAGAATTCTCCCATTGACCTTGCAACCACCTCTCAGACAAGAGAAGCTCTCCCTTTGGCATAGTTGTGTGTAGAGTGTTGTCTACACACTGAAGCACTACAACAGTGCAGCTGCAGCACGCTGCTGCAATGTTTTATGGGTTGACAAGTCCTGTGTACCTGTCCCAGACATAAAGAAGAGTTCCGTGGTCTCTCTTATCAACAGAAATTGGTCCAATTAAAATATTATCTCACCCAGTCTGTCTTAACTCTGATTTACCGAACATCTTCAAGAGTAAGTATTGGCAAATCTGCTTTAAAATGGTAGGTGAGCATGACAAGTAACTGCCTAACTCTTTAGGTAATAGATTTTACTTTGTTTTGTCATCAAAATAGCTCCTTTTAAACACTTACCTGATGATTGTGTCCATGCTGATTCCTGGCTGCATACTGACAATGGTACCAATAAAGGTTTGTGCCTGAGATTCCAGAAATGCTCTTTCAGCACAGGTATGCATTCCAAATAGCTCTGGGGAATCAGTGTCTGGCAGAGACTCTAAATAGGCTCTACAGTCTTGTAAGCTATCTGTGGCAGACACGGGTCTATATATCTGTAAAATAAATGACCAATATTTTATTTCCCTACTCAGTGAATGGCTGTTTACTGCAAAAAAGGTTTTACGTACATAACCTTTCTTCAAGGTTACTTATATAGTCCCAAAAGGTATGCTTTTCTAAAAGATTCCTGAAACTCAGTAGTGGGAATATACAATTGGAAGAAGAATGGAATTATACTGAAAGAGAAGCAGGAGGCCCAAGGAGATGGGGGTCTGGGCACACAGTACATGTGGGGAGATGGCAGAGGCAGAAGGATCTGAGGAGTGCTCAGTTGTTTCCATGGCGACTCTCCCCAATCTTCCTTGAATGTTTTGGAGGAGCGAATGGAGACTTGATGAGCCATTGCTGGGGTAGGAATGGTGCGGGGCACCCACAGAGCTGTGACCTGAGTGGGGCTGCAGCTTATAGAGCTCCACAAGACACACTTGGGCGTGCTGCACTCCCCACTCAGGTCACAGCTGCAGGCACTTCTCCACTCTAGCCTGGAGAGCTGTATTATTGACCAGGTAAATCAAACATTCAGGCTCTCCAGCTGGGTGAGTATTCCCATCTGTATTGTACCCTGAACCCTGTGGGATTCACACTGGGCACAGCTCTCCCTGAGCTAGCTGCAGCCACATGAAAAACAAACAAACCCCAAACGCTCCATCAGGGATTCCAAGTTGCTGAAGAATCCCCTGAATGAGAGGTCTACAACCAACTGTCCCTCTGTTGCTCCTGCTTAGCAAGGCACTCTCTGGTCCCAGGCTCCCCTGCACTCCCACTGGCACTGGGATGGTCTGGCAGATCACAGTGTTATAGCTGGGTCTGTTGCGGGATAGTAGAGAGACAAGGGGAAAAAGTGGTGGAGGTTAAATCTTTTAGTGGATGAACTTCTGTTGAGAGAGACATGCTTTTGAGACACACAGAGCTCTTCCTCAGGTCTGGAAAACTTAACTCAGCCAGTCAAAGCTAAATTCAAGATGGAGTGTATTTAGCTTTGACACTAAGCTTCCCAGACCTGCAGAAGACCTCTCTGTAAGTTGGAAAGCTTGTCTCTCTCATCAACAGAAGTAAGGTAAGAAAAGTCGTTGCTTCGCACCCCTGCTGTTGTCTCTCTTGGATAAAAATTATTTGGTTTGTTATAAATTATACAATTATCAAGATGAATCAAGAATGATAATTCCACCAAGCGACCCAACTATCTAGAGCAGTGGTCCCCAACCTTTTGGGGCTGCTGGGTGTCCGGGGGTAAGGGCCGCACATGCGCCGGGCACCCAGGACCTGGGGCACAAGAATGGTTTGGGCCGACCCTGGTCACTCAGCGAGCGCATATAAATGCCCCAGCAGGTACCATGGCGCCCGCGGGCAATGTGTTGGGGACCACTGATCTAGAGGTAGCTTTCCAAGCCACCCAGCTATGTAGAAGTTGCTTTCATAATGGGTGGTTGCACTTTTGATTTAACCTTTTCTGGCTAAAGTCTTTTGAATTTAGTGTGTGCAAAACCCCTTCCAGTGAATCTAATGCATTGGCTTGTGCTGCCAGTTTCTGCTGCTTTGCATATATAGAAAGCTTTTTGTTTAAGTTAAATCTCCTTTATGGAGCACTCTCTCTCTTAAAACACTGTCTTTAATGTATCTTTGACCAGTCTCTGTCAGCTCACCAAAATCACAAGTCTAACTGAGTCCCTTTAATTCTATGACACATTGCTCTGTGGTATCATCAATTTTGTGTGTGCAAGTAAAAATATTCTCTCTCTTTCTAAGATAGTCCTCACATTTAGTTAATATATTATTTAACTTCATGCTTTCACCTTCTTCAGACTTAAAGTTGTTATACATTTATATATAACCCTTCCTCCCCAACAATATGCAAAAAGACAGATGATTGCACTTTACCATTTTCTCCCCTGCCTGTATACAATTCAAACCTCTTGGAATTTTTTCCAGCTCTCTATAACATTGCCTGACAATTGCAAACTGTATAGAGTTTGCAACATATTTATTTTGGGCTTTCTTTCCTTCTTAAATGTATCAAAGTACTACTGTTCTCATAAAATATGTACAAAAGCCTTTGTTGTTCTTCCTTTGTTACATGTTCCACTTTCCTCTGTTTTCGTAATCAAACATAGGGTTAACCTAAAAATTACTGCACTATATTTCTCATTTGGCATTTCTGACATGATGGAGGTCATTAAACAGGCCCACCAACATGGGGGAGTAAAGGAGGCAGATGTGGTGGCCGGAACCACGGACCCTTGAAATCACTACCACCAGAGTACTGTATGCTCTGTCAGGCTCTGAGAGGTGGGTGTAGCACACGTCAGGCAGCGTGGAAAGCTGTCTGCCCTCAGCCCCACCCTTTCTGCATGAGGTCCTGCCCCTTCCAGGAGCACAGAGCCCCCTTCCACGTTTGCCCAGGGGCCCGCAGAGGCTGTTGGCTCCCCTGCCAGTGAATGACAAAGGCATAAACTTTTAGTAGAAAACTAGACAATGTCCACAGTACACTGCTGTATAGACATCTACCCTGTGCTCCCCCTCTGCCTCCAGGGCATGTCTCAAAATTCCCATATTCATAATGCTGTCATTTATGAGGGAGCCTCTCTAAATTATACCTTTTCACAAACATCTCTCTGCAATGCAGGGATCTGGCAGCTTTTAGTGTCAGTGTCTATTCTAAGAACACCAAAGGTATGTCTAGACTACAGGGATTTTTCGAAAAAAGTGGCCTTTTTAAAAAAAAATCTTTACCTATGTCTAGACTGCTGCAGCGTTCTGTTGACAGTAAATTGAAAAAACGTGGCAGTTTTGTTGATTGCAGAAAAGAAAGAGTTACCTTGTGCAGTAACGGTGGTTCTTCGAGATGTGTCCCCGTGGATGCTCCACTCTGAGTGCTGGTGCGTCCTTGCGCCAGTAACCAGAGACTTTTTCTAGTAGTTTCTGCCATGCCGCGCACGTGCCATGGCACCCTCTGGTGCTGTTGGAGTCCGTTGGGTGTGCACGCGCGACCCCCTCTGTTCCTTCTCTACCTGCTAGAGTATTAGGCTCCAAGCAGGAGAAGGAGGAAGGGTAGTGGAGCACCCTTGGGGACACATCTCGAAGAACCACCGTGACTGCACAAGGTGAGTAACTCTTTCTTCTTCGAGTGGTCCCCGTGGGTGCTCCACTCTGGGTGACTACAGAGTAGTTGTCGGCTCGTGGAGGTGGGTTTGGAGCCGTGTGGTAGTCACTGTAGATAGAACTGCGTGTCCCACCACCATAGAAGTTGCAACTGAAGAAGAAAGTGCGTAGTGTTACGCAAACGTGTGGCCAGATGACCAGGTGGCGGCATTGCAGATGTCTTACAGAGGAACATTGTTAAGGAAGGCAGTTGTGGAGGACATCGCTCTTGTGGAATGAGCCGTTATGGATTCAGATAGGTATTTACCATGTAACTCGTAACAAGTTCGTATACAGGAAGTGATCTATTTCGAAATTCTTTGAGATGAGACTGCCTGTCCTTTAGACCACTCAGTGTAGGAGAGGAACAGTCTAGGTGAAGCATGCCAAGGCTTGGTGTGGTCCAGGTAAAAGGCCAGTGCCCTGCGGACATCGAGTGTGTGCCATGCGGCATGAACTGGATCAGCGTGTGATTTTGGAAAGAAGGCAGGTAAGTGTATAGGTTCATTAACATGGAAGGGGGAAGGTACTTTGGGGAGGAACTTCGGGTGGGGTCAAAGTATTACTCTATCCTTAGTAAATACCATGTAAGGAGGATCAGCCATCAGGGCCGCAAGTTCACTCACCCTCCTGCTGGAGGTTATAGTAACCAGAAAGGACACTTTCATGGATAAGTGAGACCACGCATGGGTGGCTAATGGTTCGAATGGTGGTTTTGTCAGGCTTTTAAGAACGTGGTTTAGATCCCAGATGGGAGCTGGTGGTCGGACCGGTAAGAAGGTGTTCTGCAAGCCTTTAAGTCTAGTCAAAGCGTTAGTGAGGAAGGAAGCGCCATCGATAGGGTGGCGAAAAGCCGCTAAGGCTGCTGCATGTACCCTGACTGTACTAAGAGCAAGACCCGATTGCTTGAGGGATAGTAGGTAAGCCAGCAAAATAGGGATAGGGACAGAAGCCGGACATGTTGTGTGTAAGTTGTTACACCAGTGAACAAATCTATTCCACTTATATAGGTCAGGTTTTCTGGTGGAGAATCTTCTACTATTAATCAGTATCTCTTTCACCAGTTCCGAACAGGTAATCTTGGCATCCTGGAGTCATGGAGGAGCCAGGTGTGGAGGTGAAGTTTGCAAAGGTCCGGATGGAAGGTCGTTCCATGGTTCTGTGAGAGGAGGTCGTGATGGAGCGGGAATGGAAACGGATTCGTCGCCGCCATCCTGTGAAGGTAAGGGTACCGCGTCTCTCTGGGTCACACAGGTGCCACTAGTATAACTCGAGCCTGATCTGCCCTCATCTTGTTGAGGACTCTGTGCAATAGAGGGAATGGGGGAAAAGCATAAAGAAGATGAGCGCTCCACAAAATGGAGAACGCGTCTCTGAGGGAGTGTTTCCCCAAGGCCGATCTGGAACAATAGAGGTGGCACTTTCTGTTGTTCTTTGTGGCGAAGAGATCTATGTCCAGTTGTCCCCACTGAAGAAAGAGTGGGGTGAGGACATGGCTGTCTATCTCCCATTCGTGTTGGTCATGAACGTGCGGCTGAGGGTGTCTGCTGTGATGTTGAGCACCCCTGGAAGATAAGAGGCCACTGGGGTGACATGATGAGCTAGGCACCAATTCCAGAACCTAATGTCTTCTGTGCACAGGGATGGCAAGCGGGCACCGCCTTGGCGATTGATATAGTACATGCAGGTGGTGTTGTCTGCCATGATAGTGATGGATTTGCGTGCTATGAGCTCTGTGAAATGCTGGCACGCATATCTGACTGCTCGCAACTCGAGGAAGTTTATATGGAAAGTCTGTTCCATGAGCGACCATTTGCCCTGTGTTGTGACATTCCCTAAATGGGCTCCCCAACCC